AAAAAAAAAAAAAAAAAAAAAAAAAAAAAAAAAAAAAAACTTCTGTATGACTGCTGAGCAGGCAGAAAGAGCCCAAGTAGAGCAGAGTCTCCTGGAGTGGGCTGAACAGACCCTGGCCCTACTGGCTACAACCAACCTCAGCTCCTCACCTTTGAGGTCTTGCTGTCATCAAGGTACCAGAATTTGATGTGCCTATTGCCTGCAGTGACAAAGTAGCTACAATCTTCAGAGAAGGACACTGCTGTCACCCGACTGGACACCTTGTTGGAGGCTACCACAATGTTTTTCTGGAAGGAAAGCCAAAGGAAAAAATGAAGTCTCTGCCTCTTGGGACTAAGAATAAAGAGAATGCAAGAGGAATTTTACTGGTCAGAAAGAAGGGTGGGTGGAGAATCCCTTTCAGAGGAATTGAAAAGATTAATTTCCTCTGGAGGTACTTGAAGGCATAAAGCTAGTCCCTCTTACCAACATGTTTAGCAATACAGTTGCTCTTTTATGCTTCAAATAATTTTTTAGAATGAGACTGAGATCAGCAAGGTGGAGGGAAGCTGCTCAGGTTGGCAGCTTCCTGACTCCTCCACTGACACTTGGACTCCCATGAGGCTGCCAGGCCATCCCACCAAGCCTACTCACCTTCCAGGCCCAAACGTTGACGATCATGTCATGCTGGTAGCCCACAGAGACAATGTACTTGGCACTAGGGGAGAAGGCCACACAAGCCACACCATACTTATGTTCTTGCAGCTCTGCCATCTGGCTATGCTCAGCTACATCCCAAACCCGCACGGCGGGCATATGCCCACTCTGCAGAGAGGCAAGAACTGGAAGTGAGGACCTAAGGAAGGCTAAGGAAGGCTGTATTCATCTTTCAGAGTGGGAGCTGTGCCTCCTCAGCTACTGCATACCATCTCTCTAATGACTCTCTGGCCAAAAATCAAGAGCAGGGTGCTATAATACAGGTCAAAAGTATAGAGGAAACATGATAAACTTCTGAGGACAACAATGATTATCAGGGAGAAAGTGGCCCCAGACTTTATTCAGTTCTCTCTAGATGGGGGTCTGTACCTCTGTATTTGTTCACAGCTCCTTGAATCATTCTGATGGGCAGCCAGGGTTGAGAACCACTACCGCTCATATCTATCTCTGCCCCCAACTGCCTCCCTGAGAGACTGAGAGGGCAGAGATGTTCCTTATGTGCCCAGCAGGGGGCCTCCAGGGATAAGGAATATTTTAAGGCAGTGGTTTTCAGTGTGCTTCCCTAACCAGCAGCATCGGCAAACTTGTTAGAAATGCAGATTTGGTGGCCCATCCCAGATCTAAAGAATCAGAAACTCTGGGGGCCAGCAACATGTGCTTTAACAAGCTTACCAGGTGATTCTGACGCACACTAAAGCATAAGAACCACTGTTTAAAGGTATAGCAGAAACCAGGATTTGGCTTCTATTCAGGAAGCCAAAGTGACAGGAGCCCTAACTAGGCCTAGATTATAGCTCTCTGTGGAGGCCAGGTCACCCACCCTCTTCACAGTGCTGCCACCTCGTTTCCTCACTCACCTCTCCAGTGACCAAGTACTTGCCATCAGGGGAGAAGGCAAGGGCAGTGATGGTTTTCCTGCAAGAAATGGGGCAGGCTTAGAGGGGCACTGGCAGCTTGGCCTAAGCCTGGCACCCTCACTGCCTCTCAAAAGGTGAGACCAGCAGGCCCAATAGTACATGTGGCATTTCTCCATCTGGCCCTGGGGCCCAATCAGGGCCTAGACAGTGCCCTTCTCACAGCCCCCAGGAGGAAGAGTGCTTCCTGAGGGCCCAGGCCCATTTACCTGGAACTGTTGAGGATGTGGTGCTGTTTGTGTTTCCGGGGATTGAACAACACGACCACACACCTGGAGAAATGCATGAGACAACAGGTTTAGCACTAAATCATAGCTCCCTTAGAAGCCCCAGGCCACCTGGGACTTCCAGTCACCCAGCAGAGGAAGCTGAGTTAAACAAGTTCAGAGGGGCTCCATTGCTTTCTCCTGGCAACCTGTTCTTGCCGCTTCCTTTCACCACCTAAGAGGGCTCCCTGGAAGCCTCTTCCCACCAGGTCCCTAAGCACAAGTCCCATCTCTGGTCATACGAAGGGCAGCAGGGACACAGACCTTCCCACAGCCCTTGTATATATCCCAGGAAGAGGTATAGGAGGGAAGCATAAACATGATTTTGGCAAAGCAGGCCTCAGGTGTACAGCCTGTTTACCAGCCTGGGGACACACTTGTGTCAAGAATTTGAGTTCCAAGGACAAGTGAAGGCTTCTCACATGTGCGCCCATGTGTGTATTTGGCAGGAGCCAGCCCTCCACACACTCCCCGTGTTGGATGAGGAAGAGTGTGGGAGGCCATGCAGGGGGCTAGAACTGCAGGGAGGCTCAGTAAGACCAAGGGATAGGAGGGGTGCAGGACACAGGGAGAATGCATCATGGGAGGCCACCACAGAGACAGCATGAGTAAGCCTTACAGTGCTATAGAGCTTCCAGGTCCAGCCCTGAAAATCCCTGGCTTTCCAGAGGCAGTTCCAGAGAGGGAAGCCAGAGGTGGCAGACGTCAGGGGCAAGAAGCTGGAAGCCGACAGCCAAGCACTGTTCTCCTTAGGCTTCCTGGTTGTCATCGGGCCCATTACCCCCTCTAACTCACCTCTTCATCAGCACTGGTACTAGCTGACAAAAACAAGCCTGGGTGCTGCTACACCAGAAAAAGGGAGGCGGAGAGAATGAGCAGACAGCTACTTCCCCCAGACCAAATCTTCTCTAGTGGGAAACTCACTGCAGCCCCCATATTTGAACCCACTTGCTGGCTGTAAACTTGAAGTGGGGAGGTGTACAAACTTCAAGTGAGCGCTTAGCATCTTAGGCTCAACAAACCACTTCAATAGGCAGACTCCCCAGGTAATCCTCCCTGGGGACACTAAGACCTTTCATGGGACCAGATATGCCCAGAACTGCTAGGCTGGCCAACAACCTTGGAATTTCTGAGTCCTACCATCTTCTCCTCTAATCCCCCTGCCAACCTTTCCTCACTGTTTTAATTCTCCTTCTCCCCCCATCTCCTACTCTTCCCTTGTTCTATTTTCTTTATTCCTTTCTCCTTTCCCATTTTATACTAACTTCCAATCTCCTGCTTCTTGTTCTAGAATGCCATGGTCAGGAGGGTTTTAAAAAACATGACAAAAATAAGCTGGCTTTGGAAACTCTGTGCCCCATCACTCCTGAACAGGTGCATGAAAATTATAGCAGTTAGAGTTCAAAGTCCACAGATTTAGATATTTAGATTTTAATACTTTATTCAATGTGTGAAAAATAATACCCCCAGGAGATCTACCACCATCATTAATTCAGAACCCAGCGAATTTTCAGTGTCTAACTGATGTTTTCTGAACCTTCTTGCAATCTGTGCTAACCTGTGAAGGCACTCTACAGACTCATCTGTCTAGCAAAGGCTTCTAGGCTAGGTTACAGGTTACTTCGATTCCTAATTAATTACAGATAAACTATGGCAAAGGACTTCAGCTAAGAGTTGATCTAATTGACTTAATGCCTAATCCAACCAACCACATTCCAAATCCAGATAACTAAGTGCTGAGGGCTCTATGGTAGGCTTGTGAGTTTTCCTTTAAAGTCATCACAGAGCAGCATTGTGGCCTTTAAAAAGCATTTCATCAGACTGCTTAAAACACTTTCCAAGTCGCTGCATACAAATTCTGAGTCTTCCTGAGACAGAACATCCTCTGTTTCCTCCTCCTCCTAAATTCAACTCCATGGTAGGAGGAGGAGGAAGAGCAGTGTATGGGTGCGTGCGTGGGTGTGTAGGTGCATGGGTGGGTGTGTCGGTGTGGGTGTGTGGGGGTGTGTGTGGGGGGTGTGGGTGTGTAAAACTACATTGCAGATAGAAAGATGACTGGCTAGAGGAAGATGAGGCAACTCCTTCCTTCTCTAATGCCCAGTATATCCTGGGAAATTCTCAGGTGTGGCTTAGAAGAATTAAGCAAGGGAGGGAAACACAAAGTAGTAGGCCCTTCAGCTGAAATTTTTACTCCTAATTATTCAAATTCAGAAACCATTCAACACAGAAAAAGACCAACTCATAGTCACAGCTCCGATCGTGGGGACGATAATGCAGATACTGAAGTGAGAGCAGAATGTCCAAGGTTCCCTGTGTGCCCAGCTTGTTAAGGTCCTCACAAGAGAACAGGAGAACCTGTTCTCAAAAACCCTGAGAAGCCTCCTCAGTCAGCTGGGGAGAGGAGGGTGAGGCACAGTTTGCATCAAATTTCAGCCCTCCACCTCCAGTCCCTTGACCCTTCCCAGCAGGATGAACCCTTGCAGCAGTGCTGGCTGAAATCCTCAACCTGACAAGGGCTGGGCTGGCCCGACCAGCAAAGTCCCGTAACTCAGAACTTGAGGGTGCAGAGAGACTGCTCACTCTTACAAAGAAAGTGTAAGGCCTCAGTCCCTCCAGGCTTCAGCCTGGAGAGTCTCTTATTCACTGCCGTATCCCAATGTCTGGCCCAGAGCAGGTTTTCAACAAATATCTGCTGAACAAATGAATGAATGCATCCACGAACAAACTGTTTGTGGAAGAAGTAAAGGGGCTCTGGTTTCAGGTGTGAGGTATGCAAAGAAACCAGGAGAAAAAACACTGAGAGGACTGATGCTTGTGTGTACCCCTGTTTATGACTTTATCAGGGCACCAGGTCCAAGCGTCATCTTCTCTCAGGTCTACTGATCTCTCTACCATCCCACACACTCCCTGGCAAACACCTACACAGGGCTTGCCGCAGAGAGTAAGAAGGTGGCCCTGTGTTCCTTCAGCTCAGATGTCACGAGAACACAGTTCAGGAGGAGATTCTGTGGCTTCACACTCTCCAATGTTTTCAAGCTGCGGATCTCAACATAAATTCCAACATGAACTGAGTAAATGGAGGGCTTTCTCAGTAGAGCTGGGTTTCCCACTTATCCTCTCCACTTAAAGCAACCAAGAGACTGCTGGATAGGCCCAGTCACCTTGCTAAGACACTTCCCACTCCAGTGGGCAAGAAGCAGCTCTGCCTAGCACACTCAGGCCACTGTGGCAATCAGGGCCAAGAGAAACCCACTCTCAGGACTGACTGGCTCCACAGGGGCTGTGCAGGGCTCTTAAGCCCCTGAACCCTCCACCAAGCTAGCTAGAAAAAGAACTCAACTCACTTAAGGGTGTTCAACTAAACTAAGTCCCTCAAAGAGGCTGTCTAGGTATCAGCCTGGTATCCCACGTAGGGGGCGTTAAAGTGTGACAGTGAGGGGTGGGCTTCCTGTGATGAAAATGACAGCAAAGGGAGAACTCCGGAGAAGAGCCACTAAAACTGAGAGGTCTCTGCTCAGAGACTCCAAACACTTAAGACTGGAGTTCCAACCTACCTCTGCCTGACAAACACTGCCCATCCCCCCTTCCCTGTGCTGTTTCATTTCCCTTCAGAAAACTTTGTTTTGCTTTGATATTTGCCTCTAGGCCTCTGGGAGAATTTTTTGAGTTTTGTTTCTCTTCTTGTTTCTAGGATACCTGAGCTGGCTCCTAGAGCAACAAGCGCAGTAGGAACAGAGAGTGGGGGGTTGGGGGTGCTGTTAGGATTACCAGATAGGAAGAGAAGGAAGACAAGGAGGGAAGAAGAGCCTGCTCAGGCTCACACAGACTTTGGTGGCCCCCAGACACCCCAGAAGCCCATTAGTGGGCTTTAGCACAGAGCAAAACTAAAACACCCAGAAAGCAGCCATTTGCAAAGAGAGAACTTGAAGTCCTTAGAAATCAAAAGGCCAAGGAACAGATCAAGGACACTGTCCGTGGCTGACTCGAGCCACGCACACTCAGGAAAACTACTAGAGGTTACAGCAGGAAAGCCCCCATACACCACCTGGAAGGATAATGACTCCCAGGCTCATGCACCAGGCGGGGACCTGCCCATAAACATAAGCACACACCCTTAAAGGCACCAGGCCTGGAGTCTGGGGGTGTGTGGCAAAGCGAGGTACACAGCTCCACACTTCCCAGGGCAAGGACACAGGGCTCAACAAGCACTGAACAGCACCCCAGGCCTTTCCTGCCTATCCTATATCCAGGCCCAGCCCCACCTCCAACAAGAAGGAACCTGGCTTTCCCAGGCAGGAATGAGTGGAATTCCCCTGAGGCAGAAGCCCTTCATCAACTTGCTTCTGGAGGGGGAGGAGGCCAGCCCAGTGTCTGCCAGGCAGAGTCAATGCTGCTCCCACAGCAACCCCACCACAGATATCAAACACCAAAGGGCCACTTAGGAGAGACACTGATCCCAGAACCCAGGGGCAGAAGTCTCCCTGGCACAGGCTGAGCTGCCCATAAATTGAGCTCCTCTCATTCAAATGGTAGATAGACAGGTTAGAGGAAAAGCAGTTTTTAAAAATAAGCAGAAAGTCTGGCCTACCCCTACCCCATGCCATTTTAAGAGTCAGTGCTTTGCAGACAGACTACTTAGATTGGAACCCCAATAGAGACACTAGCTATGTAACCTTGAGCAAACTGCTTAATCACAGGGTTGCCCTGAGTATTAAATAATTCATGTGAAGTGCTTAAAAAGTGCCTGGCACAGATTAAGTCCTTTATAAAGGCAGCTTTTTTGATGGGATGATGAAACTAAGCAAATCATGTATATGGTACATAAACTATAAAAGTTGTTGTGGAAATGACATTGGGAAACTAGGCATTTCCAAATTGATGGTGAGGTAGAATAATGGCCCTTCTCATTTTTGTATTCCTGTGCCCAGCAGCAAGGAACAGAGGCTGACAGAGAGAACCAGAAGCAGGAGGGGTCCCAAGCCTCCAAAAGAAACACTTCTATAGAAGTCTAAAGAAACTATGGTTGGGACTTTCTCATTTTTGGAGCAGAGGAGTGAAAAGACAGCAAGGGAAAGAATACCAACACTAGTCCCCTACTTCTCTTCCATGGCATTGACATCTCTCAAAGTGACTAGAGCAGATGAAGTCATAGCATTATTCATAATAGCTAAAAAGTGGAAACAACCCAAATGTTCATCAACTGATGAAGAGATAAAATGAGGTATATCCATACAACGGAATATTACTCAGCCATAAAAAGGAATGGAGTCCTGACACATGCTACAATATGGATGAACCTTGAAAACATTATGCTAAGTGAAAAAAGCCAGTCATAAAAAGACTAATATTGTATGATTTCATTTATATGAAATGTCCTGAAAAGGCATATCTACAGAGACAGAAAATAGATTAATGGTTGTTGAGGCCTGGAGGTCTCTGGGGGGAGGGGATGGAGAGGAACTGCTAATGGGTATGAAGTTTCTCTTGGGGGTGATAAATATATTCTATAATTCACTGTGGTGATGGTTACACAACTCTGTGAACATACTATTGAACTGTATATTTTAAATGGGCAAATTGTATAATATGTGAATTACATCTTGATAAAGCCATTTTTAAAAATTACTAGAGGGTAGTTATTGAAGATGATGCTGGGAACTGTGTATAACATAAAGTGTGAATCTGTATGTGTGGGTGGATGGGTGGGGGTAGACGGCCAAAAAGCAAGAAAGGATGGCAACAAGGACAACACTCAACAAAGAGCCTTTACCTAGCCCTGTATCTCCTTTACAAAAATGGCACCAAAACATTAACCTGGATATATTTCCCAAAAGATATCAAAAAACCCCTGCCTGTTCCAACTGGTCTAGCATTGCTATGAACATCCATGCAATAAGATCTCTTCCAAGGCACTTACCCAGCAGGGTAGGCAACTAAACCTGACCGGGGGTCACAGGCAAGTCCTCTGCCTCCAGATACTGTTATTCCCAGCACCTTCTCCAAGGTCACCTGTTAGAACAAGACAGAGAAGTGACATGTTATAGATAGAGTAGGCTTGGGAAGGAGGTTCTGAAGGTATCTGGGACCATCCTGCAGTGCTGATTACTTTCCTGATGCCCCTGTCTTCAGGAGAATGGGCTATGACTTCTCTAGGTTTTGTTCTGGCCACAGGTCTCTTGATCACATGGAGAAAAGTCAGTGTACATCACCTACTTTTAGGCAGGGCTGTCTGTGGATACCATGGGAAAGAAAATCAACTGGTTAAAACACAGGTCATGGGCCGGCCCGTGGCTCACTTGGTAGAGTGCGGTGCTGATAACACCAAGGCCCCGGGTTCGGATCCCACATAGGGATGGCCGGTTCGCTCACTGGCTGAGCGTGGTGCTGACAACACCAAATCAACTGGTTAAAACACAGGTCATGGGCCGGCCCGCGGCTCACTTGGTAGAGGGCGGTGCTGATAACACCAAGGCCCCGGGTTCGGATCCCACATAGGGATGGCCGGTTCGCTCACTGGCTGAGCGTGGTGCTGACAACACCAAGTCAAGGGTTAAGATCCCCTTACGGGTCATCTTTAAAAAAAAAAAAAAAAAAAAACACAGGTCATGGCTACAGAGAAACAAGCATTCTCCCAATCCAGGAAGGCACTGTTTACAAGCTAAAGCCTTGGGTCCCCAGACTGGGCTCTTGGGTCTATGAAACTTGGGGAAGATTACTGATCTTTGTGCCTTGGCAGGCATAAAGGAAAGGCCACTCTGATCTACCAAGAGCCAAAAGAATGTTAGGTATCAATTAGGTGACTCATAATATCCCTCACCTTTGCATTCCAATACATTCTTCCCCTCCATCAGAGGACTCCACCTCCCAAATGTCTGCCAGTTCATATAGACTATGAGCCTAAGTGGCAGAAACATGGCTTAATGCTGTGTTTTGCAAAGCACAGATGCTCAGAGTACTCTAAGTATTATTAAGCCACAACTCCCAAAAAGATGAAAGGGAAACATGTGAAGTGTTCAGAGATCCTGAGAGGACATGGCCACAAAAGAAATTCACCATTTTCATCATCAGTATTATTACCCCACACTGTCTGCAGCTCTCAGGACCCACAACGGACTAACCTCAAATTAGTTCACTGGTCTTTCTGCTACATAATGGCATGTAGCATTCAGACTGCCCTGTAAGCTCTTGCTTGTCACTCCAGGTCAAGTCTTCTCTAATACTGTCTGTACTCCCGGCACTGGTCTTCCTCAGGGATGTCCTTGATATCCCTTGACTCAGAGAGAGGGACTTCTGAATGCAAAACAGCCGTGAAAACAGACTAGACTATACTGTGCTATGAAAACTGACCCTAAGGGCCGGCCCGGTGGCGCACTGCTATAGTGCGCCACTTGGGAAGTGCGGCGGCCCTCCCGCGGGCCGGCCCGGTGGCGCACTGCTATAGTGCGCCACTTGGGAAGTGCGGCGGCCCTCCCGCCGAGGGTTCAGATCCCACATATAGACCGGTTCCCGCTCACTGGCTGAGCGCAGTGCGGCCGGTCACAAAAAAGACAAAAAAAAAGAAGGGGGATATGAACCTGAAACACTTAACGAGTGTTCATACGGGATGGCCGGTGCGCTCACTGGCTGAGCGCAGTGCGGCCGGTCACAAAAAAGACAAAAAAAAAGAAGGGGGATATGAACCTGAAACACTTAACGAGTGTTCATACGGGATGGCCGGTGCGCTCACTGGCTGAGCGCAGTGCGGCCGGTCACAAAAAAGACAAAAAAAAAGAAGGGTGATATGAACCTGAAACACTTAACGAGTGTTCATACTTGTGGCAGATGACCTATTCCTAATCCAGGACAGTTTCTAGAGAGGGGAAGCCCAGAATCAATTAGGATAGTTTTAGTGTCTCTTTCCTTCTTTCTTACTGCCCCAACCAGAGAAAATTCAAAGGGCCTACTTAAATTCTTAACTCTGAGGACCATTTCAGTTAGAATTAGGTTGGAAAGAAATGCCCTGTGGTGGCCAAAGACTAAAATAAGTCTCCTGGCAAATTACTATTCACCAAAAAGTTTCCCAAGAGTCTTCTGTGCTTCTTAGGGATGCAAACCAGGGATTTCAACGTGTATCTACTCACAGGTAGAGGCAATTTAGGTACAAGGCACCAATCCAAAGCCACCTGGCAAGTGCCAAACTTGCCAGTTACTGTTGGGCTTATCTGAAGCACTAAACCTAGTGTGGAATAAACTAACTTTAGCCTACCCTATACATTTCTTGATAGTTTACCCTAACTTATGCCTTCTTCAACACTTTTTCTCACCTTAATGACCCCCGGAACCCAGTCACCTGACACTGACTGGACAGCACAAAATCATCCTGGAGAAATCTGGGGGATACTCAGCTCAGATCACCATGCCCTCATCCTGGCACTGTGCCTTTGACTATCCCAGAAGGAGGGGTACCAAGGAACATTTCTGCTGTACCTACTGCCTACTACAGAGGAGAGAGAGAGGAGCCCAAGGCCAGCATTACCCATAGAGATGGGAAAGGTCACAAAATCAAGAGCAGTGAGCTAAAAGGGTGCTCAACTCCTATTCTCCTCAAGCTAATCTAATGTAAGGCAAATCTTTTGAATTCAAATTTGCATGGATCCCTTCCCTCTCTTTTGCTTTAGCGTTGGTCCCAAAGAATCAGACCAAGACTGTTGGTTCTCAAGCTGCCCTTCCTTCTGACAGGAACCTGGGTAGGTGTTTTGTGGGTAGATGATCCAGTTTCACAGAGAATTAATTCTGAAACTAGTTTGGACTTTTCAATCGCAATCTAAAGCAAGAAAGAGATGTGGACTACTCAGACCCTAAGAACCAGTATTTATCAAACTTTTTTGACCATGACCCACAGTAAGAAATACATTTTTTTTTCCTTTTTGTGTTTTTTCGTGACCGGTAACGGGATCGCAACCCTCGGTGTTGCGCCCGTACCGCGACCGGCAACGGGATCGCAACCCTCGGTGTCGCGCTGGCACCGCGCTCAACCAGTGAGCGGACCGGTCTCTATATGGGATCCGAACCCTCGGCGGGAGGGCCGCCGCGCTCCCAAGCGCCGCACTCTACCAAGTGCACCGAGTGCACCACCGGGCTGGCCCAGAAATACATTTTATATTATGACCTAGTGTATACATACACGTATGTGTATACAGATGCATAAAACTAAAAGTTTCACAAAACAACACTTACTCTATTGCATGTGATATACCCTATTTACATTATATTCCATTTCATTAAGAAAGAATTCTGGTCATGGCCTACTTTACCGGTTTCATGACCTACAAATCGGTTAGAAGCTCTAGTTTGGGAAACGCTGCTACAGACCATCCCTTTCAGCCAACCCTGGGTGACAGGCTCTAATCACCAGCACCTTTGTATTACTCAGTCACTTTCCTCCTAGGATTCTGGGATGTGGAACATACTTCCAGACTAGAAAACCTCTGAGGAAGCAGTTTGCCTGGGCTCAAAACTTGGCTAATTTTCAAAGGATTTATGGTTTTCAGTTTTTCCTGGCTTTCTAAAGCAGCTATCCAAGGGGAAAAAAAGCAGTTTCCTTTGGCTATGTGGAGGGGAAGGAGAAAGGGAAAACATTCAGGGGCATCAGCTGGTTTTTATTTGATGTACTTAACCTAAACCACCTTTCTGTTTGCAGGGAGTTTGGGGGCTGAGCTCCACTTTCAAAGGATGAGAGTCCAGAGCTCTTGACAGGCCCCCAACACACACTTATTTTGCAAGGCTCCAACACGATGGGCTTTATAAACTGACTCTCTCTCTCTGATAATCTTTGCACTACTCTCCCTTTCCAAAAAGTTGGCAAAACTTCCCACCTCCCCTAGAAAATGAAGACAGCTTGGACACAACCTGCAAACACACCCAAATTTCAAAAATAGGTTAAATGCACCCAAGTTCAATCAGTGGTATGCTGGAGCCAGCTTGCACCAGCTCTGAACAGTGATTGTACACAGCTTTTCCCACATTCAGTGACAGCACGCTAGTAGCCTTGAAATCACCACTGTGGGAATACTTACATTACAAAAATCAGTAAAGTCTTACAAACCTAGGTCCTCACCCCCAACCCCGAGCCTGTATACCAGCACACCACTGAGTTCAAATCACTATTACCTCTCACCTGGACTATGACTATAAGTCCCAAGGGTTCTCCCTGCTTCAAGCCTTGCCCCCTCTAGTCATTTCTCAACATGGTAGATCACAGTGATCCTTTTATTTATTTATTTATTTATTTGTTTGTTTGTTTGTCTTTTTTGTGACTGGTAAGGGGATCGCAACCTACTGGCCATCTCTATATAGGATCCGAACCCGCGGCGGGAGCTCTGCTGCGCACCCAAGCGCCGCACTCTCCCGAGTGCGCCACGGGCCGGCCCCCACAGTGATCCTTTTAAAATATAGATGAGATGTCATTACTTTGCTCAAAACTTTCAAATGGCTTCCCATCTCCCTTAAGTTCAAATCCAAATACCTTATCCAGGTTTACAAGATCCTAAATCATCTGGCCTCTGGCTACCTCTCTGACCTCATTTCCTACACTCTCCCCCTTACTCACTCTACCCCAGCCACCTTAAGCACCTTAAGCAGATTCTAGCCTCAGGTCATTTGCATATGTTATTCCTTGGACTAAAAAGCTCTTCCCTCAGCTATTCACACAGCTAATTCACTCAGAGCTTTGCTCCAAGAAAGGACTTACCCAGCTTTATTTTTCTTCACAGCATGTAGAGACAGGTAGTGGCCCAAAATTGATTATAACTCTGTCCGTGTATTTACTGTCTGTCTTCCTCATCAGAATCTTGAGAACAGGACCTAGGTCACTATCCCTCACTAACGTATCCCCAGCACTTTAAAGAAGTGCCTGGCACACAACGGGCATTTGATACATATTTGATGAATAAAGGAGTGCCTGGCAGAAGCTTCCGGAACAGAAAGACCAGACATGAGTAAGCCCAAGAAAACTGGGTATTTCAGGCTAA